TTTTTTTTTTTTTTTTACTTTTGGCAGGCAGATAGTGCATATCTGTCAGTGTGATAAAGGCGAATTGGTTTTAGTGACGCTACAATTTTATGTTTCCTCCAACACTATCACCATCATCATCACAAAAATGGAACATGACATCATCCGATTTAAGAAGTTTCTTGGCATCTTCATAACGTCTTCAATGTTAATGTGGTACTGCACAAAAATGGGGCTAAACATCCCTACTACATTTCTATTGTCTGTCTATAAGTGCTTCCCAACTTAATGACATTACTAATATCAGACGCTCTTATTGCCTTTAATGGTGTTTGCTTGGAGATTAGATAAGAAATAAAGAGGCGATTAGTTCTACACGAAACATGATTTCTTCGCTAAAAGTTTTTTACGTCCTACTTTATCGACGGTCGAGTATTCTTCAGGATATTTACTTTTTATATCGTATTCGTCGATTTGTTTCTGGATTGATTAAGTACACGTGTATGAATACACGAAAATTGAAGGACCTCGATTTGAGCGAAATTACATGATTGCCAAAGAGCAAAAAAGTGATGAACATGGCGCGTCATTTCAATCATTGCCGAAAATAAACCGCATGCTCATTACGAGACTTATTTTCATTTAATAAAAATCTACAACAGCTGACCCGTTAGCCTCACCATCGAAGTTTTGCTCATAAAGATTTTTCGTTTTTTCAACCACTGAAGTATTCACTTATTCCAAAGTAATCAACTCTTTCAAGCGATAGATTCGTGGACCGACCTGTTCGGAAAAAGCTCGACATCTTTCGCATTAAAGTTTCCTAAGCTTTCTTCACAAAACATGTATCGGCGCTCTGAATATGTCGTCGGTTACGTCACGATTCTTATCCCCAGTTTCCACGGTCTGCGCTAGGAACGCCCGGGACCATGACCCCTTCTGGTGAGCACACACGAAAGAAAAAAGGAAGAAGAAGACAGAAACACTTGCATTTTTTGAGTCTCTCTCGCTTTTAAGCAAGCTCGACTAATTATCTTTTTTTTTTTTTCAATGTGATTATCATCAGGGCTGAGTTGAGTTAAATGTTTAGAAATTCTCACTTTCTGTCATGTTTGCTACTTTTTGTAACAAATATACTTTGACTGACGCATAAAAAACCTACGTTTTATTGGAGCCTGCGTAGCAGGCGGTTTTTTGGTGTTTTTTTTCCGTTCGTATTTCGTAAACTAAGAGGTCAAACGAGCCGCACGAAAGCTGAACCGAGGTCATACGAGAAAATGATGGAGGAGGGTGCGAGAGAAAGACTGAGGAGAGTGTCTGTTTTCTTTCCCTTGCCTCCTCCCCCATCCTTTTCTAGTTTGACCTCGGTTCAGCTTTCGCACGGCTGTATCCCTTACTTTACGAAACACAAACGAACACTCCCCCTAGAAACGAAACAAAACAAAACAGCCGCCACCTACGCAGGCTAGTTTTATTGAAGTCCTTATCTTGGATCAAAACTAGTAGAGTCTGAAACATGTTATTTTTTGGAAAGTATGACACAGTTTATAAAATATTATTGTTATCTGTGGCAACGGTGAATGCCTCACCGTTGCCATTTATATTTATAAGGTCCTTTACAGTAGGAACGAGAAGCGACGTTGTCCTACACAATTCATGAAAATCTAATCTTGGTTTTTTCATTTGGTTTTTAAGGGATTTGTTGTGGCGTGTTCCGGAAGTGAAGTTTTCTCAAGCCTTTTAACATAACATTCTAAAAGGTTATATAATCCATACTGAGGTGCCGGAAAAATATTAATTCTCCTAAAAATTCTTTTTGAGAGAAACAACTTTGCAAAAAATGATTTGCACCCGCCATCGCCTGCACAGCTCGCGCAGACGACAACAACAACAACAACACCCCCCTCTTTTTCCCACTATCGTTTAACATATTAAAAAGCTTTCTCTTAAATTTAAGTTATAAAACACATAGTTAACGCTACATCTTGGGAGACGTTTTGGGAGGATTGGTAAGCTCACAAGAACTCGAGGTACGGGTATAGTTTTTTTGACGTCATCAGCGCGCTCAATGGGAATGGGCACCCACGCGCTTTTGACTTTGATTGGGCAAATATTCTAACTATGTTATGAAACATTACTTAATGAATTCAAACAACCTTTGTCTTGGATTCCCCTTCTTAAAACTAGGCCGAAAGAAAAAACATGAAAAAAAGATGCGAAATCGGTAAATCTGTTTTGCCGTTGCACTTTCTTAGGGTAAGAATTTCATCCTCCCTATACGAGAAAAAAAGAAATGGTGAAATTTTTTCGATTTCAGAAACCTCAATGTTAACCAGATCATGCGGTTATCTTCAAAGACATTTGCTGGGCTGTCATCCTTGGAGAAACTGTAAGTGGACCTTAATCTTGCACAAAAACGTGATGAATAACAGGTTGGAGTTATCATAAAATCTTTAAGTTTCTTGCACATAGCAAGACTTCAAAAAAAACAAATCCGTTTCAAAGATAAGGCAATTCCGGTATTGGGATATTTTAAAACACTGCTACTATCATATCAAAAGTATAAGCTAGAGGTTGACAAGTTACCAAATGTTTCTTTTTCGGTTTTTAGGGATCTCAGGAATAATTCCCTTGATATGAAAAACTTCCCAGCAAACGCTTTCAGTGGACTTGAGAACCTTAAAGAAATGTGAGTTTTGCTTACAACTAGAGTATCTTTTGCGTGGAAATTATACTGAAGGAGTGGCGCTATACTATCTAGTACCCAGATTTCCCACGGCCACTTTTGATCTTTGTTCGAGATTAGGTGCTATTACTAGCGAATGTGTAGTTCCAGAAAATATCCATACCCCCCCCCCCACACACACACACACATACACACGATGGCAACGGAAATTCCGAGGGGCGGGGGATCAAAAAGGAGGCAATTTCTTTGGGGGAGGGGTGGGTGGGTGGCTTCTCTAGAGTTCTTTCCGGGGGCTCCGAGTAAGATCGATGAGTTGTTAAAAACTAACAGCTGCTCTGTTGAGCAAGTTATCAGTTATTTGATTGTAAACAATCTTTAAAAACAATAACTATTGTTTACATCGATGATCTTTTATTTACGGTCGACTGAATGCTTTTTTCACAGCAAACGCGACAGATAGTTGTCATTGACTCATGAATAAACTTCCGGTTATTTAGCTGTTGCTGTATTACACAATATATTTTGGTATTCGCCCTAATTTTGTGTTCTAGGAAAGAAAAGTAAAGAAAGTCCGTCCGGGGACTCGGTGTTTAGTTTGAACTTAACTGGTCTTTTACAAATGACATCATTTGTGATGTGTAAGGTATCGTCTCCATGTTTCTCAGTGCCTTAATTATTAACTAAGAAAGACCTTTACAAGGCAAAATTAAGATTATTAGACGCTGTGTGAAAATGAATATAAAGATGTTTTATCTCTTTATCGCAGGAGCAATCGTCTTTCGCATAATAGTATAGTGCAACAGCATTTTTGACAGAAATATACCTTCCATTGGCTGCCTAGGCAAGTTGGAATTCCAGGTCTGACATACATCCCCTGGAAAGGAAATTCCGGGGGGGGGGAGACTAAAAGGTCTAAAGCAAAAGTGCCCTCCGTGCGGGGTATGGATATTTCTTGGAACTACACAATCTTTTCTGCTAAAGCCTGTTTGAAAAACTGTCTAACCTGACAATCACTTTTGTAACCAATTTTCTCCTAAGGTTATTCTTTGCAGCGTTTTGCAAAAAAAAAAAAA